GAACGAGAGAGGGGGCCTTCTCCGTGTTCGCTCCCTGCCTCTGGAACTCCTTCCCTAAAGAACTAAAAATGTCCCCCTTTCTCTTTTCTTTTTAAAAGCCTTTAAAAACTCACTTATGCACTTTCTCTTACGGAGAGGAAGAGGACTAGTATACCTCTCTATATATACATTTCTAATTATCATGGACACCTACCTCCACCCATTGAATGTTAGAAACCATCTTTGATTTTAATGCCTCTTAGTTTAACTTTTAAGAAGTTTATCATGTTGTAAATGCATGCGATGTGCTATGTCATGTCTATTTATGTTTAATTTGGGGTTATTTTTCGGTTGTTTTATAATTTTATGGTAAGATTGTTTATCGAGTGTTTTGATTTGTTATTTGTTTTTTGGCATTGAATGTTTGCTAATTTGTTACTTTTTTTGGAAACTGCCCGGAGATAGGTTGGGTTATAAATGAATTATTATTATTATTATTATTATTATTATTATTATTATTATTATTATTATTCAAAGGCAATATTAAACCACCACTGTAATAGAATAACAGCATCATGTAACAAAATTCCTCCTCCTTCACTTATGATTCAAATAGCTCTATGACTTCATCACATGGATAGTTGAGACCGTCTCTGCATTCTGCTGGCATGCTGTTGGTATGGTGACATAGGGCTTCTTCCAGTGGGGCTCTGTTAGGCTCTGTGCTGGGAGTGTGCCAGCAGTGCAGTTACACGGGAACATGAGGAGTCGGTGACTACCTGACCTCTCATAGAAGAAGCTGGGGACAGGAGGAAGCCAGGAACGGCAGAGAAAAGTTGTGGGGTGGGACCCCATGGCCAACCACAGTAAAGAGACAAAGCAGTACAGTACCCCACGATTTCCCCCATTGTCCCCTGGAATCTCAACCTCCATGTGATGAGGTCCCTAATGCAAAATATGTTATTGTTATCAGCTCTCATCATCTTCAACTTATGGCAACCCCATGGATGAAAGACCTACAAGTCACCCTGTCAAAAGTCATCTAGTTTAGTTCTTGCAGACTCAAGACCATGATTGAACCATCTGGAATGCCGTCTTTGTTTTCCTACTGCTTGTTTATTTACTTAATCAAGAAGTCATGTCTTCTCATGATAAGTCCAAAGTATGACAATCTCAGTTTAATCATTTTGGCTTCCAGAGAGAGTTCAGGCTTGATTTAATCTAGGACCCATTTAAAAGATAGCAAGCAATTAATTATCCTCCTGTACTTGGTATGTCCTTGGAATTCCAAAATGCCCATTGCCATGAAATCTGGAATTAAGCTAAAGAACTCCATCCTATGCCCTTTATTCCGTGTACCAAATGTAATCAGAAAGAAAACAGGAGAGGAAGACTACTAAATGGTATTTCTGTGTTCTCTTACAGATTATTTCATTGCTTACTAATCTGTTGGGGAAAATAATAACCATTGTAAAAGTGCAGACTGCAGGCACCATAAGCTATTAGCTTTTCAAAAAAAGCTTGAATTTGAGCAATGACACAGAATGCAGTCACACATTCAATTTAAGTCTCACACATTCAGGGCTAAAATAGACATGACGGTGACAGTTATATTTGTTTAATCATGTAACTGCCTTGTTCACTTATAAAGCATGATAATTGTAACATCAAGAGAGTCTTGCAGTTGAGCAGGCCTAAACCCATCTTGGTAGTTATTTTCCCCAATCCAGACTTAATACTCCCAGCTTGTCAAATATTGGGAATGCAAGGTCAGGGTTTAAAGCAGGAGTACGGAAGTTTTGGAAAACTAGAATCTCCATAATCTTTTGGAGAAAAATGGCATTCACAATCATTTGAAAATCATAACGTTTTGTAAAAAAATATGATCATCCAGAGAAGAGCTCTTAACAGTCCAAAGTCTAATGGCATCTCTGTGTTCTAAAATGGAGTCTGAGCTCAGAACAGTCCCAGATCTGATCATGTGGTCTGCAGGCCCTCCCACAACCTCAAGAAACATAGAATAAAGGAAAAACTGCATACCAAAACATACACATACAATACAGTAAGCAAACAGGGTCATATACAAACACATTACTAGTGGAGGCTTGAAGAAGGTTTCTATTTCCAACAAGGAGTGTAGCTCCTAAATTCCCCCCTTTTACAGCACCCAAAGTGTCCTTCCCATACCCTGCATATATGGACAGATTTTGCCCTCAAAAAGGTTATTCCAAGTGTTCCAAACTTCCTGAAATTGTAGTGGTTTGACGTGCCCCCAATCCTCCCACATCTCTGTTTTGAAAAATAGTGAAAATTAGCCCAAAACAGTGCATAATTCATCACCATGATGATGATGAAAGAAAGAGAGAGAGGTTCTAATCGCAAGTCATCCAGAGGAAGCTATCCACGGGTCTTGGAATCCTTGTTCCATTGTTATAAAATTATATGAAAATTAACAGTGTTATATTCCTCCTCATAATTGTATACATGTATAAATCAGTCCGTATGTTGGGAGCCAGTGATCATCTGAGAACTAGTTCTTGGGTCCTCTTAGGTCTTCCCATGTCACTACATTGTTTATGCAATTATGAATAGTTTGGATAACAAATGTCAGAATAGTACCTAAATATGTGGACAATTAAGTGTGTATCCAGACTGATTTAAAAAATGAGAAAAACAAGGTTTTTGTTCTCGTTCTTTCCAATTTTATTTTTACAATCCATTCATGCTTTGTTCATCCCAGAATATTTTTGTCAGCTCCTGATACAAGCCCGGATTTTTTATAGCAACTCCCTGGGTTAATCTATTTTAATCCAGTATGAAATCGAAAAGAACAAAAACAAAATCTTGGACTTATCAATCAATTCTGAGGGGCTGTTAGTCATGAGGAAAAGGACAGTGCACATGATCAGAGGTACTTTCTTTTTATAATTTCATATATCCCAAGATGTAGCTCTTATCCAAAAATAAACAGATGGTGGGGCTAGATCTTGATGCATTCTGGCACAATTTCTGTCTCAGTTGGCATTTAATGGAAATATCACGGAAGTGTTTGCACTCAGATCAAGCATCAAATTAAACGCTAAAAGAAGGCAAGGCTGAGCCATTGCTATGATTCCATGCCTCTTTTTCTCTTCTATTGCTAGCATCTAGGTAAACATTTTGCCTGGCTCCAGTTCAGGTCACTAGCTGCCATCTGTGGCAGTCAGGAAACATTCAGTAGAATGACATCAGCATTGTGCAACTCTAGATGTTACCAGTACAAGAGAGAAACTGAACACTGGTGCCAGCATACGGTTTAGTTGGCTTGTTGAGAAGGATCTGATAAGGTTTAGTTGGGTTGTTGAGTAGGATCTGAAATATCAGCCCTGTAATCTCTCCCAGATGAGACGTGAAGCTAGGATGAGCCCTGACACAGAACAGGAAGGCAAAGAGACAATAAACAATAACTCTGACCCAAGGATTCACCAAGCCTACTCACCCCACTCAAGTCAAACTTACTCACCCCACTATCCGAGACACAATTTATTTCAAGTATCATTATTTTATATAACTTCAGAATTATGGAGGCAACGACAAAGTGCAAATTAGCAATATCTAATGAATATGTGATAATCTTGATGAAATGAAATGAAATGAGATCTATGTGACCAGTACCGAATGTATTAAGGTTGGGTTTTTTTTTCGTGTCAGGAGCGACTTGAGAAACCGCAAGTCGCTTCTGGTGTGAGAGAATTGGCCATCTGCAAGGATGTTGCCCAAGGGACGCCCGGATGTTTTGATTTTTTACCATCCTTGTGGGAGGCTTCTCTCATGTCCCCGCATGGGGAGCTGGAGCTAACAGAGGGTGCTCATCTGCGCTCTCCCCAGATCCAAACCTGCGACCTATCGGTCTTCAGTCCTGCCGGCACAAGGGTTTAACCCACTGCGCCACCAGGGGCTCCATTAAGGTTGACGAGGATGTTTCTAAGGGTCTGGTACTGTGTGCAGCCATAACATCTGGTTGTTGTCTCTGGACCATTATATTGTAATTATAGCACTTTTAGTATAACACAAATGACAAGGCTCAGCAAAACACTACAGGCCATGGGGCGATGTCAGCTGTTGTCAAAATGGAGTTGATCAATACACTACAGAAGATCAGCTGAATCTAATTCTTTTTTTTTTTTTGCACTGACCAGGCCATCCTTCCATCAATTAGTACTTGTCAGATATTTCGAATTATGGCCTGAATCCTATTGATTAGTTCCATCTAAAGTGGGCCCATTGAGGCATGTCTTGAACAGTAAATAAACACATAGGAAAATTATACTGATTCCGTGGATTTATTCTAGTTGAGATTAACAATGGGATTCAAGTTGGTATATCTCATTCCCCAAATAAAGGGAGTTTTGGTCCAACATGTCTGGAAAATACTAGACAGGGGACAACTGGGTTATATTGGATGTTTTGCAATAGCAGAGTCCCAGATTAGTTATTTTATTTTTTGGTTATTTAATATTTAATGTTTATTTTACTTAAGTGATGTTTGTCTTTACTGTTCTAATGTAGCACAAATCCTATGTAAAATCATACTACATATTTTTGACATTAATATTAAAATCTGGAATATATGCTGAAAGTTTTTATTTTACTAATATCTTGCATTGCTTTTATTTAAATTTGAAACTCAAGAAACCACCTTTTGAAGCCACACTATGAAATTTGAAAACAGAATAAACTCACTGCAACCCATAATAAAGTTTCACCATCTTCTTGATAATATTTGTGACATGACATTTTCGAGTTTATTACTACAACCCCATGAGCTGAAAATGAGGAAAAGGAAATAAAATATCAGAGGTATATTTTTTGGGAATGTAAATAAAGTTTTTATTTAGCAGAAGTTCAGTGGGTGACCTCGTTGGGCAAGTGGGTTTAACATATATATGCTTGACAACATTTAACAGTTTATGAGATATACATTTTCTTTTTGTAGAGGGATAATATTAATTGTTCTTATCACTCTCTCTAATGTTTTCCAGGCATCGGAACTGTGTTTATACTTACAGGATTCTTCCGAATAAAGAAGATAAGCTGGTCATCCAGGTAAGCCCCAAATGAATGCTTCATGTGGAACTCTACTTATACCTTTTGACTCTGAAAAGCAGGATTCCGGATATCAATGGAATATATGGTAAAACTAATATGCTGCTGAGGGACAGACCAATGTATTTGGCTGCCTGACCTAAAGAGCGAAATGGTCCCTTCCATGTACAATATTACCTGAATTTGCAGTTGGATATTATTTCTAGTCTGGTGAAGGAAGATCATCCACCTGAAAGCAGTAGGCTAACATAGGGGTAAAAAGAAATGTTAAATGCTGACAGGAAGGGACACAGAAAAAAAATAACAAAAAGGTTCACTACTTTCCTGACAAAAAAAAGTTCAATAGTTCCATTAAAACACTGAGAAATGTAAACATTTATTGAATTTTTGTCTCATTTGGGTAAAAAGATATAATTTTACTTATTTTGAAAGCAAGGTTTACTTATTTCAAATACTGTAAATTATGTAATATGAAAATTTGTATGCAATATAGTCTGCAGAATTAAAGAAAGTCAATTCCTTTGTATACTGGAGACACATATAATATATAGATCCAAAATGCCTTGAGTGTTGCCAGTCTACTCTTGATATTAGTCTTACCTTTAAAGCACCTATTCAATGTGCTAAACACAAAATAGGTTCAGAACCATGGATAGCACCTTTAAATTCATATTAAAACACAGAGCAGATATACTTACCAGTGATATGGATCCTCATTGCTTGTGATGATCTAGAACAGTGGTTCTCAACCTGTGGGTTCCCAGAAAATGTTGCAGCTGTACTCTACAAAGAGGAAAATCAGCCTGATTAGCAAGCCTTCTAATTGCTGATTTATTATCAGTAAATGTTTTATTTTAATACCTATTTTATATACCTATGTACCTGAGGACATGTCAGAATTTTTCAGGTAGAAAGGAGTCATGAGTGAAAAAAGTATAAGAAGCCCTGATCTTTGTGTAGCCATGTCTGCCAGTCTTCAACAGGCAAGTAAACTGCAGCTGCTTCCTTACTAAGCATTCATAAATATCAAAGCAGAGAGAAAAGTAGAGAGCAGATAAGCCTATCCAAATAGAAATCATAAGAAAAGTGGTAGCTGCTAAAAGAAAAAGGCATTTTTGAAGAAACCTTCATGTGGTCTCAAGAAAATTCAAATAATCCAAGGCTCAGCTGACTTCTTATTTCATTTCTCATGTGCATATCATTTGTTTTTGAGAAAATATTTGCTGAATCTTGTTGAACTGCTCTTCTGACTGTAATCCAGGACTACATCTCTATTCTTTTTTCTGCTTCTGGTACCAAATTTTCTTTTAAAGAAGAACCACTCCATGGCCACATCTCATTTATTAACTGAGGTATACTTATAATCTAGCTGTTGAGACTAAGGACTTTATCTCATGAAGCTAATAAAGTGTAATTATGATAGGATAAGAGCATCTTATGACACAATATTGCATTTCTCCTGTAGTCACATTGCTCTTGTATTCTGATTGGATCATCTCTTTTCATTCATTGTAATGTATTAATCATAGAATCATAAAGTAATAGGGTTGGAAGAGATCGCATGGGCCATCTAGTCCAACCCCCTTCCATGCAGGAAAAGCATAATCAGAGAATCCCTGACAGATGGCCATCCAACCTCTGTTTAAAAGCTTCCAAGTAAGGAGCTTCCCACACACACCAAGGCAGAGAGTTCCACTGCTGAATAGTTCTTACAGTCAGGAAGTTCTTTCTAAAGTTCAGGTGGAATCTCCTTTCCTGTAACCCATTGCTCCAAGTCCTAGTTTCCAGGGCAGCTGAAAACAAACCTGTTCCCTCTTTCTTATGGCATCCTTTCACATATTTATACATGGCTATCATGTCTCCTCTGAATCTTCTCTTCTTCAGGCTAAACATACCGAGTTCTTTAAGATGCTCCTCATAGGGCATGATCTCCAGACCTTTAATCATTTTAGTTGTCCTCTAGACACCTTCCAGCTTGTCAAGAAAGTTTGGTTATCCAAATGTAAATAATAAAAATCCATTTTTATCATGTCAGAAGCGAGATAATTGCAAGTCACTTTTGATGTGAGAGAATTGGCCATCTGCAGAGACGTTGCCCTGGAGATGTCCAGATGCATTACCATCCTATGGGAGGCTTCTCTCGTGTCACTGCATGGGAAGCTGGGGCTGACAGATGGGTGCTCACCCATCTTACGGATTTGAACTGCTGACCTTCAGGTTAGCAGTTCAGCTGGCATAAGGGTTTAACCCATTGTGCCACCGCGGCTCATAAGAATCCAATGAATGATATAATTGTTATTCCATCTCTTTTCCTTGTGGAATAATGTTCTTCCTCTGTAGTCTCAATATTGTGAAACAGAGGAACATCTTGCAGGAATGTTGAATAGTTCATGCTTGTTGCAGTTAGCTATTGACTGCAACAAGGTCTAGTGGGATCCTGCCCACTAGACCTACCCAGCATAACCAGTGATGAGGGCTCATGAAACTGCAGCAAAATCTGGCAGGCTACAATTCGTCATTTGCTAAAAGCGTCAGCAACAACAAAATCTTAACTCTCCACTTTATAAGAGAGTAGCAAGAAACAATGATATGATGAACATGTATTTAAAGTGGACATCAGTTGCAATCATTACATGAATCAATGATAACTAACACATGTGAAGAATATCTTGACTTTGAGTCACGCATAAGGTTTACCTCAACTTTTGCAGAACCTGAAGCCAGACAATTTGTTTGGCACACAAGACAGAAAATCCCACAAGTACCTGTCTCTATGTCTAACAATAAAAATAGCAACAGTAACAAATTAACATGCTTCTCTTTGATAGCAATTGGATTTGTTGCTGGAGTTTGCCTAATGGTCAGATTAGTCTTGGCATTGTCATCCCATATGGTAGTTGATTACAGAAGTTGGCCAATCTTCATACAATGGCCCCTATCCCATAACTAAGAGTATTAAGGCAGGTTCCAGAATTCGCCCTATATGTGGACTTTATTTATTTTTATTTATTTATGTATTTCCTATATTTATACCCCGCCCTTCTCCCCCTGAAGGAGGACTCAGGGCGGCCTAACAAATGCATCATACGAAGTTGCATCATAAAAACAACCACAGTACAATCAAAATATTAAAAATTAAAACAACAATTGAAACAATTAATTAAGACACATCATTAACATCGAAATTCAAAAACCAGTCCGGGTTAATTCATTGCCATAAGTTGTGTCATCTTCTTCCACTTGCTGCTCACTGATCAAACCCTTGGTCCCATAACCAGGTCTTGATTTTCCTTGTAAAAGACAAGAGGGAGGTGGCCAATCTGATATCTCTAGGGAGGGCGTTCCATAGGGGCAGGAATTAATGTTTATGCATTGAAATATTATTTCCATGCAAAAAAAAATCCTGCGTAGTAAATGCTTGTTTGTACATAAAACAATCATGTGTGAAAATTGCAGTGAATAAGTCCCAGGGTGGAAATTTTTTTATCAGCCCAGGATTCTACTTGTCAGGGTTTCTCAACACTAAAAAATGTTTTTGACCATTTTGTGAATATTTTCAAATATTATTTCCATATCCCTTCTTGTGGTCCCTTCCAACTGTATGATTCTCTGATCCTATTTATATTTTGTCACATGCCATGTACTTTAGAAGAAAGACAAGTGTAGATATTAGAAATATATAATACTACACACTTCTGCCTTTTTCATAATGTTAGTATTGGAACTCGGTAAGGAGCATTTTGCATGACTCTGGATTACTATCCCTGAAGCCCAGTTGTTTGATTGGAGTTGAAAGTGAGGGGGACCAAGTCAGTCAATACAATACAGGAACTGGTTGCAGGCTCAGCTACCAAACTCCTGCATTTATTTAAAAAACCTGATAACTTCAATTCATCATTTGAGTGAGAGATGATTGGAGTTGCATTTCAACAATATCCAGTAGGCCACACCTTCCCTATTCATGCACTAAATTCTGGCTTAGTCCAGAAAGGAATTTGCAGCTTTCTCTTGTATACCAGTGCACATCAAACTGACAGATTTCTATATATCCCATCTTTTTCCTCTGACACTGTGAGAAGGCCAAGGACAGCAGAATCCATTGACTACACTCGATTGTTGCTTGTTTCCGTTTCCACTGGAAAATCTTTTCTGCAGTTTGGCTTTGCCAATTCAGTGTGAGTGCAGTCCCATCCTGCAAGTGTTATTATACTCTAATGGAGAGGCAGGGTGCTGTTTTTTACATCTTAAAAGTAAAGTGTTTCAATTGGTTTCAAGACAAACTTGGAGGATTTTTGTCCATTTGGATAACACAAGAGACCGGTTCAGCTTTTGCAGTGCTTCTAATTGTTTCCATATTTTCCAAAAGGTACAGACAATATTTGTGATATGCAGAGTTGACAAGCAGGAAGTAGCCATTACCTAAATACCAAACAAAATATTGATTTCAGCTGTCCTGCCTATGTGTTTCAACATGTATTTCAGCATACTATCTACATTCAAAAATTACTTGTTATATACTCGATATATCTCTATGAAGGGCCCACACCTCAAAATACAGGGTTTTCTGGCTTCTTGTCCAGCCTATACAAAATGAAACCTTTTCCAAATAAGGGACAACTCTTAAAATAAGGACTACCCTGCAAACCTAAGTGCATACATCTTCATGGACCCAAGTCAGGGATATGACTGGCCTGTTCATTTATTGAAATACAGGAGCCACTATTTTAGCTAGGCATTAGTCATAAGCATTTGATTGATCTATTTCAGTTTCTCAGATTGTGTCCACAGCATCCCCGGCAAAGAGGGGCTGTGACTTCACACTCTTTCAGCACTTAAGTGACCTAAGGATTCTGGGGTCATCTTTTAACTTCTCACAAACTAAGTTAGCTTTCAGCATCTGGTCACTTTTTTCCTGCTCCACCTCTGAGGCCAGGACTTTGTGTAACAGGAAATGGATGACACACACTGACTGCGTAGTTCAAAAGCAGCCCCAGCAAAGC